GAGGGCATAAGTGAATTTCAAGAAAGGTCAGGCCTTTTTGCTATATCATATTCTTTTGTGGGAATGCCGATGAAGCAAACGAATGTTTTCTATAACAATCGACAACGTTACTTATATTCATAAATGAGTAGGGTTTCGAGACTACCAGTAAATCAGTGTGAGTCCGCCTCAAATCTTGATGAGAAGAGGCGCTTCTAGTTACCAAGGCAACACCAACTGGGCTAGTCAAAAGTCCAAAACCATCGTTTAGCTACTCACTTTGTGTATGAGTAGTGCGAGGCGACACGTGGTGTGCGATTTGATTGAGTCCCCGTTGCCACTAAAGGACACAATCGTCGGCTAGATTTACTCGTCTTCTCAAGGTTGTCAGCTTGAAGTGTAAGGAGCTCATGTAGACTGTGTTGCCACTTGCATGACCATGTAACAGGCAGCCAAAGGGCTCGTCCACTCGTATCTGAGCTGGGTTGGCCTGGGAGGCAAATAGGCAGGGCACAAAAGACCCATCCGAGGAGAGAGAAATAAAGAGATAGATAGAAAGATAGAGAGAGACAGAGACAGAGAGACATATCCGGTGAGAGTAGTGCTCACGAGGAGAGCGAGAGTTGACTGACCGAGCCAGCAACCCAACACTCAGGTCGATAGCTAACATGGCCTCCTGTCATTTGGGCTCCGGTGATTGGCTCTCCGGCGGACAGGGCTTGGGTTGAGTCCGACTGTGCTCAGTCGTTTTGGCCAGCCTGACTGTCTGTCGGGCCGAGGGAGGAGAAGTGACGGCAAGTCGAGGAGACGGCAACGAGGATTCGTGGACTCAAGGTCGCCCGATTGTCATCCGTCTGGCCGTAGGGCGTCTGTCGCGGACTGACGAGGTGGACACACCTGCCCAGCATGACCTGAGCTGGGCGAAGACTGGAGCCGCCTCCAGACTTTGCCCCAGGACGACAGGACTGCTGGAGTCGGCCGAATCACCTGTCGTCCAGGTCAGCATCATGGGCCTATGACATGCGACCAGCGAGGTGTCAGCCCGGCCACCTTGTTTCCTCTCTCTCTCTCTTTCTCTCTCTCTCTCTCTGGCGCAATCCTCTTCACTTCCTCAGCGCCGGGCCGACAGCAACTGGAGTCCTCAAGTGCGGCAGCGCCAGAAGGAGAAGGAGGAAAAAGCAGTACGCCAACACAACACGCTTGGGTAACAAGATTAGCCTGTCCGTCTATAAGAAGAGTACACACACACACACACACATATATATATATATATATATACGCATACACACGCACAAAAGG